TAAAACCCTCCGATTAAGTGCGGCGTTAACTTCAACGAGCAGGTAGAACGGCAGAATTTTTAGGCTCGCTGCCATTAATTACGGGTTGTTACCGCGACGCTTGCCTTATACTTTGCACGATACTGACGGAAGCTCGAATTCCACGCGCGGAGCGCGATTATATAAGTGTTGAGCAAAGATTCAGTCGCCGGCAATCTTCTCTTTGTAAGTTGGTATCGATTCCTCTAAGGCAACGTATGTACGTCGAGAAGCTTACACGTGATCGCGTTAAAGAGACGCATTGCAGGTCGGTGAATTTTTAAGCATCGTGTCCAGAAAACGCAGCTGGAATATTTTCACAGAATTCCTCGCAAACTACCCCAGCTACGCTGTTACGTAGCTCTTTGCAGTCGTTACATCATTTCCTTAATGCCTTGAACATGGTAATTAGGATCATCCGAATCTGCTCGATAGTGCCGTTTTATAATAATAGAGGCAAGTCCCCTATTACGAGATAGGCTCCTAACACGAGATGACAGGTTTTCAACGTTCAAATTCAATCAAATCTCTTTTCGCGACGATTACACGATTCAACAATGAATTTTCCACTAAACAGATTTTACTTCAAGAGCAATAAATTCATGGTGCAACTAATAGATGATTATCATCTATTAGTTAAAGTAATTTTTATACATAAAATTAACAAGCTAAATTTAATACCGCTACCTCATTTTAGGAACTTGTCTCATAACAGGGGACTTTCATCTACCAGCATGGCAAGCGCCCGCGGCTCTCACGCGCGTGATAAAAAGGAACTTAAATTTTACACTGAGAAAAATTTTCATCCGACAAACCAATTAAACACTGTTCCCGATGGTGAATTTTTCCGATTACGTTCTCCGATTAAATTATGGATACATCCGACAAAATTTATCCGGTGATATTACGCAGTTACCCGATGAAATTTGATTGAAAAACCGATCACATTTTTTCATCGGATATACAATTTAATTGGACATATCCGTTTGTTATTGCGTAATTGGATTATCCGATTATATTTAATCGGACATTTCTCTCAATGCAAGAATAAGAACCCTAAATCGTCACCCCGACAATTTTTAACGGGAATATTCTGCTTTCGATCGTGAGTGAACACTTGTCTTTTGGAAATGCAGAGTGAACGGCTAACAAGTCATTTAATATATGAATGTAGCAAATACTTCGTCATGTTATTTATCACGTTTTATAATAATATTTCCGACCCACTTTTGAACCGCACTTGGATTTATCTGGTGATATTTTTGTGAACCGAACCATAAGTTTACTTCAAGCCAAACATCCCGTTTCTTTCGAACGTGCGTTTTCTTCAAAGATAATAGAGACTATTCCAAAATTATGTGTAAAACGTATTATGTAATACCGAAGGAGCACAAGTGAATATGCATAATTTTGGATTGGGACAATTTAAGTTTTTATCGTAGGTGCAAACGTAGCTTGTCCGAGAAAATCTGCGAATTCGCGTGTGCGAGCGAGTAGCGTAGCTTAAGATTTTAATTCAGTTTCAGCACGTATAATTATGCGCGCGGCAAGAAGCTCCTCCTTCGGGCTCTGCCGTATCCGGGATCTTAAGCCGCTTAGTTAGCTGTAAAATAGCGAGGCTGCTGCCCGGGGGAACAAAGAAAATACAGATTATACGGGAACATTCGACGTTCACGAGACTCGTTCGTTTACCCTGCCAAAAGGGTTATTAAAACCAATATAATCGTGAGTATAATTACGTGAAATTTTGCGTAGTTTTCACCGGAGCCTCGGCACAAAGATGCGCACACGCGTATCCGAAGTAGAATTTTCGTCAAGCGATGAGAGAGAGAGAGAGAGAGAGAGAGAGAGAGAGAGATATGCGTGGCATATACCTGCTCTAAAAAAAATTAAGTCTATTTTAATATAATGCTGTCTCAACAGAAAGGAGTAGAGAAGATTAGCACAGCGGCATGGCAATTTCCGCTGAAGCTTTAGCCGCAGACATCCTGCAACGACAGTTAAATAATAAAGGCGGATTTCGCTGATACTGCATTCATAAAGCGATGAAATGATAAAAAATTCCGCTAATGCTTTAACTTTTCATTGTGATTCAAATCGGCGCGCGATCCAACGGAATTCCTTTATATATATATATATATATATATATACTTTTTTCCTCGGATTCAAAATTCTCATCTTAATAATGCAAGTATAATTGCCAATAGACTCGAAAATGAATTTTTACCGCCGCCCCAGATTCACGTATTTTGTTAAAATTGCCTCGTACAATTATTTATTGAACAATCCTCGGTTAGTGTAGACACTATAGACGACCTGTACATATATTATGATTGAGACAGAGAGAGAGAGAGAGAGAGAGAGAGAGAGAGGGGGGGGGAGGGGACGGAGCACTGATCAACTATTAATCCGTGCACGGATTAACTGTGGATAATTTATGTGCATTAAAGCCACTAAATACTGATGAGCGCACTCGCCGTATAAACGGTAATGTGCGTCAGTCATTCGTAAGTCGCACACAGACTTAAAGGCAGGGCCACTCGGTTATGCGCGTACGCGCATATGTTCCTACGTATGTAAAGCATATTTGGAGTGATTTACCGCTCACTGAACTCTACACGGCGCGAAAGGCATTTTACTTAGAAAATGCAAAAACGGAGCAACGCGTGTATGAATCACCGTAATAAATTCCTAGCGAATCGTGCAGCGAGGGCGGCGATATTTCTCGTTAAAATCTCGCAAGAATTTTGCACTATTTCGTTATCGAATGAAACGTATTGCGCGATATGTGCTCGGGGGTGCTCGATGAATCCAGGAGGTCACGATTGCCAGTTACAACTTTTATATAGGATGGACTTCCACGTCCATCGATGTCTTCCACGACAGGAGGTCCCTTGCAACGCGACCGTAGCGAATTCCTACACTGAGAAAAATGTTCATCGGATAAACCTATTAAATAGTATAACATCAGTGTTTTTCTTGACCGTATCTGGCAATTTTAATAATACAGAAAATTTATTGCGAAAAATATTACCTCAGCCAGGGTCTGAATCTGGGCCTCCCTACACTCTAGGCGGGCGTCTCACCAATTCGGCCACCGAGGCGTATGATAATATTAGTCGCAATAACAGTATAAACGGCCGAATTCGGTCGAATTGGTGAGACGCCCGCCTAGAGTGTAGGGAGGGTCCAGGTTCAGACCCTGGCTGAGGTAATATTTTTCGCAATAAATTTTCTGTATTATTAAAATTGCCAGATACGGTCAAGAAAACACTGATGGTGGAAGACAAGGTTCCTTGCGACCGGAGCAGTATTTTTTTTCCGGTCCCACCTGCGTCTACTCGTTTCTCGCAAAATCTGTCAACAAATTACGCAACAAATTTTACCGTTTATATCCGCAGCGTCTCGAGTTTTATAACTCTTACCGTTTGAAACTAATATCGGGTTTGTAATCCGTTTTATAACGCGTGGAAAAAGCTGTCGAAACTTACTTATGGTGTTCAAGTTAACGCGCGCATACGAAATTGCCTTACGGTCGCCCAGGCTCTCCGCCTCGGGGCCTTTATGAAACCTTGTTTTCTTTTATAGTGCGCGATGCCCCGAGATATTAAACGTCGATATGAAACTGAGATCTCGCCTCTCGCCCGCTCCGAATGCGCGGACGTTTCCTCCTACGCGCCGGATTTATGTCCCGCTCGTAAACAAAGCGCGGCCCCTAAGCTGATTTAACGTCGATCCGCGCGTATACCGGTGTGTCAGTATCAGTTACGTGCCAGGGTGCGGTGAATGCAGTGACACAGAAATTAACTCTAACGTCTGGCCCGGAGAGACTATAGATTTGAGGGGGGGGGGGGGTACAACGTGGCGCGTTCCGCCGTTCCTATTTCGGCTGAAATCGTCGTATTTCTCGCCATCGATAGATGCAGGACGCGAGGAAATTTCGTATGCAAATTCTGAAACCTATGCTGGAGATTTGAAAAGAACGGGGAATTATCGCCTCTCTATAAATATGAATTTACAATGCCACGACGACTAGGACGCCATTTCATTTGACTTTCATACTTTTACATCGCGGACGACAAGTCTTGTTAATTTATCGCGATCCATCGATTTACATCAACCAATACGGACATGAAAATCACGCGTTTGTCATTTTATTCTCAGACTGCGGTATTCCTGATAAATTTTAAAGATACTTTAGATTCGTTTCAGTGCGATTTTGACAGCGTTGATGCGATAATACAGGCATCCTCCTAATCATTACACACACTGCAAATCTGAGTGTGTTAGTTTTATACATTAGTATGTGTAATTTGGTGAAACACTTTTCGCACGCTCTCTTCTGTTTAAAATCGCGACACGGGACTTGATGAATTTACATATTTCTTGCTGTTTAAAACCAATCCTTGCTTACTGTACAGAAGCAATGAACGCTCTAGTGAACAATTTTTTGAAAATGGAAATTTCCCAAATAAACATTGTACGCTACAAATAAATTTTCAAAGACTTTTTCTTGGTGTATTATTTTAATTATTAATATCCTAATAATTTTGTCAATGGCTGTATATTAGCACTCACATCCTGTTTAGCCTCGCCTGCCTTAATTATTTATTATTAATTTTTACCTTAGGAGCCTCGTTGCTCTTTTGAATCCACAAAGATTCATCCTGGTTCGTATAAATAACTCTAGGAATCCGTTCCTCGCGCATTTTTACATAGCGCGAAATTTCGAATTATACATTCCAAAACGTTTGCGGAATGTGACAAAAAGATTTCATATAATTACCGTGCGCTCTGCTTAGAGCGATCGTCGAAAAAAAAGGGGTACGTATTTTGTAAATCTAAATACGAGCGCTGGCGGCGACGGTCGTCATGAATAATAATGCGAGAATAGTTTAACTTAATTGGAGCGTCAATGCGGATTACAGCGAGCGACGGGAAATGAGGGGAAATATGTGTGCGTATGTGTAACGGATACTCACACTTTATGTCCAAGTTCAGTGGATTGCTCTCGCCGTCGCCCTCCTGATTATTGCCGATGCACGTGTAAATCCCAGCTCGACTGCGAGTGACACTTTGCAGCACCAGGCTCTGATTACTTATTATCGTTCCGGTCGCCGTGTTGTGATAGAGCGGATTGCCCTGCGAATGCAAAATCAAACGAGAGGGTCACGCTGCACTTCAGGGGACGCCGTGAACAAACTCTGAGCGAGAGCGGCTCAGAGCGCGAGTAATAGGCTGCTTAAGGGGATGCTCTAGAGTGATTCTGCACTTTTTGCACCTTTTACGCCTAGAACTGTCAGTTCATGAAAAACATTTGCATAATATACAAATTATGTGGCTTTTGCGTGTCCCACTATTCGGCCTAAATCAGAGAACAGCATTGAAACTAATAGCGAACTAGTGCAAGCGACCGAATTCGCTATAAGTTTAGAAGCCTAACTTCCGGTCTGCACGCGTAAGCCTTGTAATTTGTGTCTTGCGCAAATGTTTTCATGAATTGACAGTTCTAGATGCGAAAAAGTGCAAAAGGTGCAGAATCACTGTAGCATCCCCTTAAGCCCACAAAAGAGATATTTGGCGGACCGTAAATCGAAAGACACATTTGAAACAAATAAAAAAAACACAGATCGACACAATCTTCCTTTTCCGATAACAAAATTTTGTGGAACGTGCAGTGTAAAATAATAAATATTATATTATGTTGATAATAAAATAATAAATAATAATAAGTACTGCAAAGTATGTACATACAATTAAGTACACTTGCTACGTGCGATATCAACGCCGCGGGAAAAAATACGAGTGCGGCTTTTGTTTGTTTTTTCCGCGCACGCGGGCTAAGCTATAATAAATCCCGCATGAGAAATACGCGGCGAGGAACGCTGACAGTTTTTCGATCTCTCGCGCTCCCCCGTCGCATGTGCGACTTTCGAGACTGCGAAAGCGGCTTTGAGTTTTCACGAAACAAATTTCGAGTCTTTGAAATCGAGGGAATTGATTGGGATTTGCGTTTTGCGGCGTTTCCGCGTGTACGACGTTCGTTCGCGATAAGAGCCGTCGAAATTGGCTTGCGCGGACATCAAAGTTCGTAGAGCACCGCAATAACTTTAATGTTATAACATGTACTGGGTGAGCTTTATTTCGCGGACCAGTCTTTTACCATGAGATATGGATTACCGACCGAAACGATAGCCAACCTGGGGAAAGATGGCGAAATCTAGTTGTACACGTTTCAATCGTGTAATATCTAAATTGTATTTTGAGATTTGTAATTAGATATCGCACGGTTGACACATATACAACGAGACTTTTTCCATTTGTCCAGAGTTGGCTACAGTTTTGGTCGGTAATCCGTCTCTCATGGTAAGAAACTGGTTCGCGAAATAAAAAACTCACCCTGTATATTCCTACGAAATATTATCCTTCGATCGCCGAGTTATTTTGGAGACACATTTGTCAGCGATAAATCAAAACTTGTAACTGTCACAAGTATTTTTAGACTTGTCCCTTAGCGAACTTCTTCAACAACTAACGTTCGTGTCACTCGATAACTTTTAAATTATAATTTCTCAATAGAAGAATACAACACACGCATCTAGTATATTCGTCGATATTCGCTCAATATTATCTACTATTTATTTACGTCCAATACATTTTTTTAGTTCAAAAACAGGACTCTTTCACTCTTTGTTTTCGTCCTTGCTGTCAAATATCGTATTAGCGACTGAGGGACCTTGTAAAAAAATAACGTTTGAACGAATCCGCTTGAAAAAGAGAGATTAAAGAATATGTTTGAAAAGAATTTTTCCCCATTTTATCATTTAATAACTATTAAATACCGCGAATACGTATTTCGACGACAGTCAGAGCTGCGTTTTGTGTCGTAGGATTAAAAATAAATTTAGGATGATTGAATGCAATTGCTTGCCGGCCGTTTAATTGCGACAGGCGATACCTTGATTTATAACTGTGATTCATGTGCCGTGCCATCAGTCCCAAATCAATCGCGCCTATGACTTTATCGCGGATAAAGACAAAACGTTCGAAACGAATTGAAGGGCTTAAAACACATTCCAGCACTGACGAATGGCATTCTTATTAATCGCTGATAAAATGCCCCCGATTTATATCCGCATTTCGATCTACGCCGTTATTTCCGCCCGATATCAATCACGCGAATCACTCTAGCAGCGAAGAAAAACATTGCGTACTCAAGCGTGCGTTTAGAATAAATTCGGATAAAGCGACGCGACGCCGATGAATTACCACTCGTGTGGACATTCCAATATTCGCGTCGCGCGATTCGCGTTGGGGATGCCGCATCAAACACGCGGATTATTCTGATATCGGTAGAGGGAAATCGGGTTTTTACTTGCGCGCAGTGCTCGCTGGGTAATTAATTTTTCAAGTATCGACACTACCGCATCTCTAATGTTATCCCCTCGTTAACAAAATAAAACGAAACGTTAATAAAATGATTCTAGAAAAAAAAAACTTTACGCGCTGGAAATTGCAGCTAAATTTCTCGAAAGGTCGCGATACGTTTGCAGAGATAGAACGCGCTCGGTCACGTTTCATCTGCTTCATAACGTTGTCCTGAAAATAGTAAGGTTTTAGTCGACCTTAACTGACACGTGTTTAATAAAAGAGCATACAAAGCGACGTTTCGACCTGGGGGTTCAGGTCCTTTTCAAGCAAGTTCTTAAAATGAAAACCAATAATCGAGACTGCAAAATTCGTCAGAGATACAGAATAAATTGATACCTAATTACAATGTGCATGGCACAATAATAAAATAAGTAAAAGGAACAAAATTTCAATTAATAAATTCGATAAAAGATACGGTTTGTCAAAGCGGGTATAAAATTACAGATTGGAAATAAATCCTAAACCAGTCGATTACCTTGTAAGTAAATAATCCAGCAAATGTAATATGAGATCGAAATTATGAAAGTCCGGAGGAAGTGAGTCATAATAATAAAATTTTTCGGCCCAAAATTAAGTTCTCTCGAACTTTTCAAACTCGGATTTCAGCGGGCGTAAAGAATATTGACAATCGATATTCGCGTGCGTATCGAACGTTAAAAGTTTGCGTTGCCTCGACCACAGGAAAGAGAAGGGAGGTCTAATTTGAGACAAGAGCTACACGACTCTCCGTAAAATGCTAAGTAATCGTCGGTTGTGAGAAAAATTTCTGAGTCCTGGCTGTCCAGTGCCCGAAGATTAATTACTGCGCGAGGAAAGTCCGGGCTTTATACGCGCCCGGCGCGGTGTCCCGGCGATACGAATTCGAGAGATCAAACGCGCGAGTTTTCGGACGGAAGTTGGTGTGACGCAGGTGCGCGCCGTCGTTCCCTTATCTCGGCGCGATTAAGCTTCGTCGGCTTATATTATCGATTTCTGAACAGGATTCGTTATCTGCGCCCCATGCGGTGCGCGCGCTGTGTGCGGACTCACGTTATGGCGCCAGGAAACCTTGTAAACCCAGGGATTGGACTTGATGTTGCACTCGAAGTAAACGTCGATACCCTCCCGAATAGCGCTCGAATTCAAATTGCTGCCAAGCTCGAGGGTAACCACAGGCTCGTCTGAAAACAGAAATCGACATCAAAGCTGAGGAGCGCGCGAAATGTGTACCAATATGGGAGAACGTCGCTTTAATTACGGTAATTGGCCTTATTTGTGCCTAGACATCTAAACAGGAAGAAAACAAATATACGGGAAGTGAACTTTTGGATTTAAACAAAAAAACCTTAACCCTTAGCGCACTTTGGTACCAACATCGACTCGTCGATCGACAAATATTGTCTAATTGATTTATCTTACGTGTAAATTTTATACCGTGTTCGAGTTTAACCCCCTCTTTAGTCTCGTTCTCAAATTCAGAGTTAAATACGAGGGTCGTTTGAAAAGTTCTCGGAGTGAGGTGCTAAATGGCACTCATATACTGCCGAATGTTCGCGCGCGTGACCCGCAGCAACAGGAACTTGCTGTAAAGAATCGTCCGAGGGGGAAACCGCTGACCAAAATCTTGCACACCAATGCCCACTAATGCCCACTGGGCATTACACTTTATCTTATTATCTTATTTTATCTTATTTATCTTGTATCTTATTTTACCTTATTTTATCTTTATAATGCCCCAGCAAGGCCTAATGCCCAAACTAATGCCCAAAAAATGCCTAGTAATGCCCAGTAATGCCGCAAATCTCTACACCACAACACCCTCAGCGGATTTTCCCTCGGAATCGTCGAACGATCGCTCGATCGATTAATAATCCACCGGGGGGTGAAACCGCC